CAAAATTTTAAAATTTTTAAAAAAAGGAAAAAATTAAAATTAAAAAAAGGTTTTTTTTTTTTTTTTTTTTTTTTTACAGAATTTGAATCAGGTGAAGCTAAAACTGAGCCACTTGAGGAGTTCTGGGTAGAACATATTTACAGACAAAGCTGTTTATCGTAAATGCTTTTTTTGTACATCTTTGGCTTCATTACTGCTCCGTTGTTCCTTCAGCAATTGGCCTTTTTTTCAGTCTTTGTACTCCAAGTAACGACTAAATGATTACCAAGTTAGTTGACAATTATTTCAATAATCCATTCGTCGTGATTAATCCGATTAATCATTTCAGCTCTAGTCATCATCATGATAAATTACAATTCTGATTACAGTAAAAAAACAACACACACACACACACACACACACACACAAAACAATAATAGTAAACAACTAGTTTTTAACCAGCAGAAATGACGGAAATGTTGTCTTGAAAGAGGCTAAAGACATTAAACCATCAGCTGCTTTGAAGGTGAAAACTTTACTCATATTCACCGTAGACAGAAAAATGAGAATTTCTGCCAAAAGAAATTGTCATTTTTGAGATTAATCTCAGAATTATTTTTATTTTTTAGAAAACTAGAGGAAATTCGAGTTCGAAGTCAAATTTCCATGAGCAGATGTTGAAGATGCTCTGTCAACATTTGCTGAGCTAAAAGCAGTGTGGGTTACCTTGCATGTTAGTGATCTTGTGCAGGGTTTCCGACCTGTAGCATCCATAACGCCACAGTGAATATCAGGGTTGAACTCACGCTCTGCAAGCACAAAAAGTCAGGGTAAAAACAAACAAAACACAAACACGTTAGCTCGTTCGCTACCAACATGTACTGTGCGTCTGCCTTTGAAACGTTAATCAGATGAAATCTGTTTCTTGTTAGAGGTGGGAACTCTAAGATGAACAAATTAGGGAGCTGATGCAATATGTGAAAATTGAAAAACACTGCAAGAAAGAAACACGAATATCTAGAAGAGTTAGATGATTAAAGAACAACAAAAGACAGCAATCGTGATGGTATTAAATAAAAATAATCTGGATAAAAAAAAAAAAAGGTGTCTTTGTTCCCCTTCCGACTGACCTGAGACCTTCTTGTTAACGTGGCGTTTGCTACTGGTGCTGCTGTCTTGCTTCTTGTCTGCGGGGAGGCCCTTGCCGTTGGGAATGGGACCAGAAACCAGCAATGGAGGCTTTGGTATGGGGGGACAGTTAAGGCCTGGTTTAAGGGCTGATGATGATGATGACGGCAATGATGAGGACGACGACGACGACGTGGGAGTCGTGATGGCGGCAGTGCTCACAGTGGTGTTAGAAGAGGGCGTAGAGGAGGAGGAGCAGGAAGTGGCGGCGGCGGGGGCGGAGGGAGCCTGCAGCGGCTTCGCTGACAGGTTCATCTTCTCCACCTTCACAGCTGGGCTGGAAGAGAAGGTTACAGATACGAAATGTGAGAATCGAGAAAGCTGGGGCTGATTTCCTGGATCTGAAGATTTAAGTTTTTGAAATATCAGGATTTTCCTTCTTTTCCCCACCAGTGCACTCCTTGTGTTTCCATATTTTGGAGTGATTTCTGGCAGCCGTCTTGTTTGACAAGGATGTTTTCCAGCTTTTGACTTTAAATTCACGTCAACTTCAGGATACAATTCATTGATTATTATTTTTAATTACGAGAACAAAGTCGTAGGTTTGGGAATTTTATGAGAACTTGACCACAACAAATAAAAAATTTAAATGAGAAATGTTCACATTCTGATGTCGGTTTTACAGGAAAGGACATATTTCATCTTTTACCACATCGGCATCTAATTATAATCAGCAACGACTGAGTCGAAGAAAGAATCACACAGACGTGTCAGATCTAGAAGCTTTTTTTCTCATTAAACCCTTTTTTTTCCTCTTAATTTTAAGATGTTATTCTGGTAAAATTCCATCATTATTCTGTTAATATTCTGACTTTATTCTAATAGTTAAACACTAGTCCTCCGTTGCACAACTCTCAGAAGCAATGACTGAAACAAAAGCCACTCTTTGAAAATATTCTCTGTCATTTGCAACTTCTTTTTTAGAAAAGAAAGCAAGACAGAAAAAATTATTAAAATCGGATCATGTGTGGGGGAAAAAAATAAATAAATAAATCGGAGATTTTATTTTTAAGCCAAATCATCCAGACCTAGAAGTATCAAATCTGGTGTTAGAATCACTGATGCAGACGGAAGAAAACTGAGCGAGAGATGTGAAACCGTGAAAGGGCCCGTTTGGACAAAACCGACCACTGACCAAAACCAACAAAACGTATGACACCTACATACAAGAAGTTTACGTTGAACAATAAAGAATTCACAATTCCCAGAAAAGTTGGAACCAAACGTCCAAACTAAAAAGGATTAAAACTTACATTTTGTCAGACGAGCCCGTCCTGCACGTGGAGTGGGTAGGTCTTCGCTGAATGGTTTGCAGCTTGTCTTTGGCTGATTTCGGAAATTTTGGATTGGAGGAGTATGACGACGAAGACAACGACGACACGCTGGAGAGGGCGCTGGACGTTCGGCCGGGGATCCCTCCGCTTGGAACTCCGGCCACGGAGCCCGAGCTCAGTCCGCTGCCGGCACTTCGGTTTCTGCCCGACACCGGGAAGGGCGACGTGGAGACCGGCTTGCTGGTGGAACTGTGCCTTCTCTCTGCAAAAACGGCACAAAACAGACCGAAATCAACAAAACCAGTACGAGCAAATGAAATTCAGAGGTGAGTAAAGGACCCAAAGATTGTACTCAAGAGTAGCAGTTCTCCAACATATTTTCACTCAAGTAAAAGATAACTGTCCAAGAATTTACTCAAGAGTAAAAAGGTATTTTCTCAAAAGTCTCCTCAAGTAGTGTGTAACTGATCAAATTATCAGTAATACTTGAAAATGACATCATCAAATGGACCAAAATGTAAAATGAAGTGGAATTTTTGGTAGTTCAAGAACAAAAATGGCAGTAATTCATATAAGTAATAAACAACAAAATTGGGCAAAAGAAAATTTTTCCAAATCAGTTTCTCACAAAAAAAAAAAAAAAAAAAAACTTTTAAAACTAACAAAAACTGCAGGTGTGTGTCTGTGTTTGGTGAATCTTTGGTTAAAATGGTTTGTCCTTCACTCTAGATCACAATGAGGCATGAAGAGGCAAACAGAGACATCGATGTTCTTCTTTAAAGCATTGAACAGGTCTCCCCCCTAACAACAAGAAAAAGGAGCTTTTGTGATTCATGCCTCCACAGCCTGAAATAGAAACAGCCAATAGGTCAAGAGCTTTATTTCCAGACTGAGCATCACTCAACAGCTGCCGTGCAGACTGATAAAAGGCTGCACGGGAGAAGGAAAGGTTAGGGCGAGTCTTTATTGTGATGGGGGGAAAAAAAAAGGGACAAAAATAGAAGAATGAAATATCACACATCAGATCCAAAATGAACTCTGATCGGTTGAGGAGTTTCCAGAATGAAAGACACAGTCGTGTGTCAGAGCTGGTCCAGAATCCCAGGAGGCGACCACAGAAACGTTGGGTCTCGTAACGGGACTCTCAGCTGCTAATGTTAGAAATAAAGCAAATCAGGGGTCTGAAGGCAAATTCAGCATTTACTCTGACATGGTTCTCGTTGATCTCAGCTCGAAAGAAAGAAAAAGGTTTTTAACACTGAAATGTTCATTGCTACTGCTAAGATGAGGCATGGAAGCTGCAATAAAGGAAAAGTGCATGGAGAAAGAAGACAAGAAAGGAATCAAAAACAAGAAGTGAGGGGATGACATTTATCGTATCGTTTATCAAGAACAATTTATTATAAGAATTTAAATTTATTGTGATGATTAATTTCACTGGTGGTAAATAAGAAAACAAAACTGATCGGAATGTTATTTTTGCTATTTTCTCCACACTGTTTGTTCCACAAGAGCATCAATAAATATCAGTGAATGTGACAAAAAGATTAAATGCAGTTACACACTTTTTTTTTTAAGTGGAGAAGTGAAGGTCAGATAATTTGGGTTTATTAATACCATGCCACGCAGTCACATATTACTAATAAACAGCTTTTTTTAAAAAAATCAAATGCCACACTTCCATACTGGTTATAACCTTAAAGCAACACCTAAAATGACCTAATTATATTCAGAATACACTTGTCAGTCAATAAAGCATTACAAATGCATTCATCCAAGAAATAAGAAAGAAAAAAAAAAAAAAACATATTTGGGGAAGTCTACTAGACCAGGTCTGTACCTGTTCAACAGATTCATAAAAGGGCAGGAAAGTGAACCGGAGCTCGCAGAGTCCCGTCCTGTAGTCAGCCCCCCCCACCCCCCACCCTCTCTCCCATCCCCCTGCTGGGATCAGCCGCAGAAGCTCAAACACCTTCCAGAAGACAGATGGGCTCAAAGCAGCACGTTCACATCATATTGAGACGATCTGGATGATACCGAGATCAGTGCTTCTGCCCCGGTGTTAACTCCGCATGGGGTCTTCCCGTAACGACATCAGAGTGAAGAACACGGAGTAAAAACCCAGCAAGGGACCTGCTAGTCTGTATGGCCGCGTACAGTTGCAGAGCTGCACTTCAATTTGACACTTTTGTTGCAGAATTGAAAAAAAAAAAATAAAAATAAATAAATAAATAAATAATTTTTAAACCGAAGCGTATCTGCAACTAATTTGATACAAAAAGTGAACCAAAAGAGGGGAAAAAAAGGGCGGAAAAAAAGAAAAATAGAAAAAATGGAATCCTGCAATTTTAATGAGTCCTGAGATTCAACGTTGCAAATATGAGGATTTACTTATAATTACTGCAGAGGGTGAATCCTCAGCTCCAGGAAACCTACAGTAAGGGGACTTAAAGCTGCTGCTAGCATGTTTGGAAAAAGAAAAACCGATTTACAGACAATATGGTCGTATAACTCATCATTGCACAACTGAAACAAACGGCACAAAACATGTTAAAAATCACCGTAAATGACTCATTATGGATGCTTGCTATCTATGATTCAGACTTTGAGTCTACAACAGTCTGGCAGTCACCTGCTGGGATGCCGTCAGTGCGGCTTTAATTTCATTGACTGGCAGGGGACTAACCTCCAGGCTCCCCACACCCCCGTCTCAAATTAACAATCACCCTGACAGGACTGACAGCCAATCTACATGTAGAAGCAGATCAGAAATAATATATCCCACACTGGTGATAATGTTTAACGACGTAGGAGGAGCCAAGTGAACGCTGTTAGCATAATTGTAGAGGTAGATCCTTGCAGGAGCACTGCGCTGTTCTGCCTCCCCCTGGTGGCTGGTCTTGACAAGAGTTACAGCTGTCACACTTCAGAGAGGATAAAAGGCACCGAGAAGAATCCACTGACAAATACTAGCACTAAAATGGTACTTTATCAAGTAGTGATTTTTAAAAAAATGCAAGGCAGCTCTGATTGAGACTGAACTTGGGTCCTGGAACAGCTCCAATGATGTGTTTTTGCATTGATTTTAAAAATGTTTGTCTGGCCCCCATCTCATCTGATGTCCTTCCTCTTTTAAAAACTATTTACAGTACATATGTGCAGATTCTTTTAAAAATTAACTAGCTCTTATTTAACTTTTTATTGACCAGGAATAGTTAATGTAAATGTTTTGTTGTCCTTTTAGAGTAATTTACCAATTTTGCTTTTTGTTTTTGCCTAAAATATGAAGCACTTTAGTCAACTTATCTAATTAAATGCATTATATATGTAAAACTGACATCAACAGTGATATCGGACGTGGGAGTTTTTTGTTAAATTAGCTTTAAACAGGTGTAACGCATGGCTTCGCCTTATGTATTTGAGACAGAAGATGCCCCAGCTACTCTTAAATCATTTGTTTGGCAGCATTTCAGGTTTCTACTAGGAATGAGAAATGGCAACGGAATGATAGACAAGATCAATATGCAAGAACGACTGATGGCTGGACGTCACAATCACTGCAACAGCTACTAGGAAACAGTAAATGTTGTTCTGCAGACCATGTACAGTTTCTCTTCCTAAAGTCTGAAGAGAATCAAAGAAATCTGAAAAAGAAAAACATCAGATTCTTGACTTTGTGGACTAAAAGCATTTTTTGCAACATAAATTTGATATTTTAACCTTCAGGATAACAGTTGTGTGCTTAAATGCCATTTTATTAATCATATCATAGGATTTTTTTTAATCTGCTAAATGATTTTAAAACAAGCTCAATATTATTTAACTTCAACAAGTACCCATCCAATGTCGAGACAGCCATTTATTCACTTTTTAACAGTTTGTAAATGGGTCTTTTATCAGTGCATTCGTCCACAACTGAACTTTTGAGGACATTTATGACGTTGATATTGCCCGATAATGATAATGAATCTGGCACTCCTGCTTTACCTGATAACTACAGGTAAAGCAGTAACATAAAAACATCCTTTAAACATCTTCAGAAAGAGCAAAACAGGCCACATGACTCAGAAGCTGCACGTCCATCGGCGGCGTTCCCAAGACCTTGACTTAAGTTTGTAAACCCAGCCTCACAATGTCCTGACGATCAGCCTTCGAGTGACACTTACCGTAGTGTGCTTGGAAGGCTTGTGGCTTGACCACATGACCGCAGTGGCTGCACATCACCAGGTAGAAGTCGTCCTGTGCGGGACACTGACCAAATATGGGCATGTCTGTAAACGGTGGACAGAGAGCACAAGTTAAGGAGGGGAAAACAAGTTCAACCTGCATTCATCACATTCATTTATGTCTGAAACAGTCATTTGTTGTAATAACTTTGTGGTGGCTCCAAACAGGTTCATCTCAGCATAAAGGAACTCCCTTTTTTATGTGCATGAATGAAAAGATCACAAACTTTTAGTAATTTAGTTTTAAAAGCTAATTTACAGCAGGGCTGCATAAGACACAACACAATATGTTTCTTTAGTATATTACAGAGTTACAGACTACTTTGTGTCAAACTGCCAAGTAAAATCTGCACAAGGGACTTTGCTCTTACATGGGAGGGAGCCGCAAACACGGATCAGCACTAGGTTTCTGTTCACCAAGGAGAGCAGTGACAAGACGTAGAAATAAGAGAAATGCTGATAAGAATCAAAAATAGGTTACTCAAACCTGCAAACTGAATAAAGTTTTACCCATGGTGCTAACTGGACCGCCTTGCAAACCTGGTGGCAACAGAAAGCTGGATTTTTTTAAACATTTTGTACGAAAGCTGATCGTTACGTTGGACGTTAGGACTCTTTGTTCTATTTAAAAAATTTAAAGACTTCAAGCACGTATGACTCAATCCGTGACATTGACACAGTAGTGGCAACTTTTTCTTTACCAAGTCCCAACGAGTCAAAAACATTTCCCAAAAGCTGTTCGACAGAAATATGTGGGATCAAATAAATGTGGCTGAACATCAGACCACAAACTCTGAGGGGAGGGACAGAAGAGGGCGCAGAAGAACACCTCACTGCTAAACTTGCTAGGATAACCATCAATGAAAAATCTGATAGCTTTTATTTATGGACATGAACCTTTACTGCAGCACACTCAGCTTAGTTTTAATGAAAAACAATAATTAACAACAATGGGAGGAAAAAAAAACATGATACGTTGTCTTCCTTTGTATTCAAACCCATTAAACTTTCCCCTCATTTTGTCAAGTTACAAACAAACTTCAAAGCATTTTATTTAGATAAATTCACAAAGACATAGGGGAGCATATTTTTCAAGGTTTCCAACATATTTAACAACAAAAAAGTAACTAAACTGGAAAACCAAAGGCATCAAAAATACTAAGGAACGCAGCACACAGAGAGGACGGAGCTTAACATCTTTCAGTCAATATGGAAAATGCTGACAGAGAAACGCCACATGACCTTTTGCATTGAGAAACAAAGTGGTGGCAGAAGCATGGCGTGGGAAGTCTTTATTCAGCAGGGACAGGGACGCTGGTCAGAGTTGTTGAAAACACATGCAGTGAAATACAGGTGAAGATTTTGAAATCCAGACCATCCAATTTTTATTTAAACTAAACTTGCAGCTATAATTGAAGAAAGGTAGTGTGAGTGTGTTTGCTCGTTTAAGTAGCCTATTTAGGGACCATTTGTGGTATATTCACAAATGGTGAAGGTCTGCATTAGGGCCACAGTCTGGTCCTAATGCAGAGGACCCTCCTTTTTTAAGAGTTACAGATTACATGTAGAGGTTTGATGTGGTTAAAGTTTTGGTTAAGGTTAGGGTAAGCGATTGAGTTTGCCATAAATGCAGGTACGAAAATAAAAAAAAAGTCTAATATGGACAGAAATACAAACTTGTGTTTCTGAAAGCCATTAACGCACTACCCTCACAAAACATCCAAATAAACTACACTGAAGTTTATTTGGATAAAAAAACCAAAAAGTAAAAATAAAAAGAGTTTAAAAAAAAGGTTTGGTGTTTATGAATACTTTTACATGACGGTGTGTGTGTGTGTGTGTGTGTGTGTGTGTGTGTGTGTGTGTGTGTGTGCGCGCACCCTCTCCGCCCACCAACTCCACCTCCACCTCACACCTTACATGGCCCTCTCCTGCAAATCGGGAACAGAGTTTCTGTGTTGAGAATCTACAGCCAGAATCAGAAACCACCTCATTAAGGAGGCTAATTAGGAGATTGCCTGGGATGCCGGGATGAGATGAGCAGAGGAGAGAGGATACAAGAGAAGCCAAGTGGAGCCCCTCTCTCCCCAAGAGCTACTTGGCGATGGTTGTCAAGGGTTCTCCAAACATCATTGGCTGAGTCTGGAAGGGAGGAGGGCCATTAAGTAAAGACCGTATAAAAGCATCTACCTGCTGGGCTCCCTCTCAGAGAGGTCAGCGGCAGTGTTTGGATGAATTGACAAGCCTGCAGCTTCTTAATATGTCAATTGGTTGAATCCTGTTGGTCAAGTGTCTCCTTCAGTAGCCGTGGTGTGGAAAGGCTTACTGTAGAAAGTCTGGTGTGTGTCATGACATAAAGAGGGGACAGTCTTCTGTAGGATATGAAAGCCATCTATTTTATCTAAAAATAAATCAGTCATTTCTGAAGCGATGTTTGATAAAACATCAGATTTTTACTTTTTTTTTTACTTCAAATATTCAAAGCCTGAGCTTTCAGAGAGAACCCCTCCTCAACTTTGAGGCACGATGGAGCGGTGTTTTTTTATTTTTTTTTTTATTTTACAACATCCCGCCTTTAAGATACTTCACTGTATCAGCGACACAGTGACTGTATCATCCACCACAGAAAGACTAGAACAAAGTGACACGATTCCAAAGCTAGTCCAGAGGAATCGCGCTCCGAACCGGCTCAGTGAAGAAGAGGGAACGGGTTTCGCAGAAAAATGGCTGATGATCATGAAGACTTAGTTTTAGCTACAGATGAAGTGAAAGGTTCATCAATCGATTCAGAACCGCAAGTGCCTAAAGATTTCCACCCGTTAAACCCGGTTATTAAATGACTAGTTTATTATCTGTATCTTGAACAAATGAAATGCCACCATGCTGAACTAGGCCTCCAATTCAGTAAAGTGACACAGACCTGGTAAATCCAAACTCAAACATTTCTGAATGATTGTTCGTTTGTTTGTGGGCTGTCAGTCAGTAAATCAGAGAAAAGGATGCTAACTAAATAGAAATCAAAAGAGCTATTTATTTATACAGAAATACTCATTTTTATCTTAAACATTAGAATAAAAAAACTGTCTAGAAATATTATCTGTTTTGTTTGCTTTTCTCCTTAAGGTCCCAATATTTTATACTCTTAAGACAATCTTGGGATGTGCAACTAAGCCTTCGCTTTATCAGGAAAACATTTATTAGTGAATCTGCTGTTGGATTTTCCAATAACATGACTTGTGAGTAAGGCATCACATAAAGTATGGGGTATCAATGCAGTGAAAGTCTAACAAGCCTTAAGATATTATTTGTATATTTGGGACTGGAAAATATTGAATTCATGCGATCCTTTGTAACTGCGATATCGTGCACATGGTAACAACGGTGATTCAATATACTTTTAGCTATAGGAGGAACCTTACAATGTGGTCTTCGTTTATTAGGGATGACTGCTGCTCAGGGGGTAAGCGGAGGTCTTGCAATGATTGCAGGTTCAATTCCAGCTTCCTCCTCTAACACGTCACTCAACTTACCTACAGATCTGTGTAGGTAGGTTATAAATGTGTGTCAGTGTTGTGGCTCTGGTGTAAAGAGCTTTGAGTGGTCAAAATGACTGTAAAAGTGCCTATACAAGTTCAGTTATTTACCATTTATAAACCATTTGAAGATGGTGGGGCAAAAAGGCCAGAAGAACATAGAAAACCCTAAACTTTAGCAAAGCTCAGAACCAAACAAAGAGCTGAGATCCAGGCCGAGGCCTTGGCAGCACAAGAACGAAGAGGAGAAATCGAGCCTGCGAGTCTTGGAGGAAAACAGTGAGAGTCTAGTTAATTTCAGCATCCTCAGCCATGGCAGTGATGGATGAGCTAGGTGTGATCGTAGCGGCTCTAACAGCCTCCGAGCGCCACACATGCTGGCTCAGTCTGACCCGTGGCTGACAGTGGCACTGCGTTTCCCAGCTTTGCTAACTGTGACAGAGTCACTGTAAAATTCATAAAAAACCCACAACAGCCTGCCGAATACATAAATCATTAATTGGCTTTTATTTCTAACCAATGTGTGTGTTCTGGTAATGATCTGCGTGGAAACACAGCTATACCACAGGAGGAATCTAACGGTGACTCATAATGGAGAGGTGAAGTCATCCGCTTCTGGTACCCCTACAGCACACACACACACACACACACACACACACACACACACACACACACAGTCAGACAATTTATATGAAGGCAAACTTCTGGCATGATCAGCATGTGTTGATCAGGCTCTATGACACAGACAACAGTCACCGACAGACGCTGCTACATAAAGAACGTGTTCCAAGCTGGCTGCAAGTCGGCTAATCTAGCAGCCCTAGCAGAAATTTTAAAATGACCACTCTGCCTGTCAGTCTTCATCTGACCAGGGGAGGAATTAAACTGATATGCTGTCAAATGACATGTCCTCACAGAGATCCAAAGAAATCCCTCTAAAGACTAGTCACTACTTAAAATGGATGCGGAGAGACTATTAGAGCTTAAAGAGCTGTCTCTTTGAAGACACGAACACATGTGGCAATAAAGCTGCGCTCCTGTCACTTGGAGCTTCCAGGAATAGTGTATTGGTCTTAGGATATGTACACAACACACCATGTTGACCAATGAGAATTTAATATTAGACAGAGCTCCAAACACAAGGCCTGGCCGTAATCCTTAACTTTCTGAAACTCGTGAAAAGTAAAGAAAGATTAGACTGGGATTGGAGCTGCGCAGTAACAGCAAAACACGAGACAGAATGTTGATAATATGACACAATAAATACACAGACAACTGTAAATGTTGTTCACAGCAAAAAGAAGAAAGATTGAGAATAGAAAGGGAAGGTAATGGAAAAAATAATTTAACTAGAGCATCACAATATAGTGAATCGTCATGGCAATATCAAGACTGCAAAGGACTGTTTGGATGCAACGTTTGGAAGGATGTAAAATGTCAAGAGTTATGCGTTCATTCATTACTATCCGCAACATATCTGGCTAATTAAATGACTCTTAACTCTCCCTGAAC